TATCCTCACGTTTTTCAAATAAAACTACAAGCCCTATATAGGACTATTATAAACCAATAGATGAGTAGTTACAAAAAGGCTTTCAAAAAAGCTCTTACTACATCAGCAACAGTGGGTTTTTCTACGTCAGACTTGCTGTCAGAATTTTCTGAAGAATTCTTCTGAAGATGAACTTTCCTTTCTGTATTGAGATTTCTTGTTATGCCGTTCATACGCAAAATAAGATCAAATAATTCCTCAACTCATTGCATCAAAATATATTAAATATGGTTTCAGAACGTCTTTCTTCGTTGACGGACATCCTCTTCTGTCGTTGCGATTCTCTGACTCATGGTCTTTTGCCATTCCAGTTTTGGTCTTCCTCTTTTTCTTCTGGTTGCCAATGCAGCATTTTTCTATTCCTTTCTAGCCTTCTATTCCCCCTTGTTGTTTTATATTGTCATTCCTCGTTCTCTCTCATATTCCTGACATTGCAGAATTTCCTGAATATCGTCCACTTTTAAATTTCCGTTCTGGGTGCCTACACATAGATACTTTGTTTTATTTATATCAACTCTAAGGCCGCATGCTTGGTACCTATAAAAAATACTCCTCTATTAGCTCTTCAATCATAATATTGCAGTATTCTTTTTCACTGGTCACTATGACCTGATCATCTGCAAACTGAAAAGTAAAAAGGCATCCATGGATCTCCCTCGTCCAATTTTTTAGAGCTACGTATATTTTGAAAAGCGTAGCGTAGGAGAGATGCAACATTCTTGACGTAGTTCTTTATTCACTATAAATGTGTCTGTGAGTTTTTCCTGTGCGAACAAACCTTATAGTTCTATAAGTGCCGTTTGTTCCAATACCTAAGTGTGATTGTTCTAATACCTTCCATAGTTTGAATACTGGGACTGTATCGTATACTTTTTGTAGGTCCACAAATGTGAGGTGGGTTTCCAAATGTCTAACAGATCTGTTTTCTATGACATGTTTTAGGCAAAATACGTTATCTGTACCTGATCTTCCTGCTCTGAAGCCGCACTGCTCTTCTGGGACTTTATTCTCGAAACCGAGGAACAGCGTTGTCATGATACCGATTGCTCTGTCATTGTCAGTGTTATGGAAATATGAATGCGGACGACGAAGACAGAACCTTCGTTCTCGTGAGAACGCTGCTCCCCTGTTTCGAGAATAAAGTCCCTGGTTCTTTCTCTTTATAATCTTCAATGAGATTTGAGATCACGCAGGATTCTACCGTATAGTTTACTTGATGTGCTTGTGACTGATATGCCCCGATAGTTATTGGAGTCCAGCTTATTTCTTTTTTTGTGAATGGATGATATAGAAACCAATTTCCAGTTTTGTGGAACAGATGTCCATTTAGGTATTTATTGATAATACATGTGAGACCTTTAAAGAGCTTCTCGGTTCCCCATTTCAGCATTTCGAAGTAAATATATTTCTTCTGGGCCGCTACCTTTACCTGAGTTAAGATTCTTAACAGTCTTTTTTACTGTTTCTTCAGATATCTATAACTGTACTCAATATATCCTGGAGAATCTAATATACACCGTGATTAACGTAGCCCGTGCATTAGAAGTTGTCCAGTTTGTAGGTGGATTAATAGAAATAGCATCTAATCCACCCTCAAGAATCTAATCACCCTGTATATTCCGCCGTACTTTCTTGTAATAGACCCTTGTAGTGTTCTGTCCATTGCTCCGAGTCGATTACCTCTGACATTTTATATAAATTTCGTATCTCTGAGCATTTCCTTCCTCCTATGCAGATGTTAATTTCTTCACATTTCGTATCCCATGACTTGATCTTAGCTATAGTGATGCACGTTCTTAGTTGTCTTTTTGTGCCTTTAAAAACTTCAAGGTCTTATTTATTTTTTGTTGTTAGCCATTTCAGATATTTTTGCTTCTTCTCTTGGACTAATAGCTCTATCTCCTCGTTCCACCAGTATTTCTTGTTGGTATTTTTAATCTTGGTTCCTATTGCTTTTTGCGTGGCTTCTGTTAGACTCCTTTATAATGTTCTCATAGAGTTTATATTGAAGTTATAGTTAGTCTTACGAGTCGAGCACTAGGGAAAGAATGCGGATAAAAAAATTGCAATATTGCCTATTTGACTTCCAATAGAAAATACAAAATACCTTAATATTTATCTATGTTACACACCTACATTTATAAGGAAAAAGTAATATTTAAAAACGCTGCGCGCACACCTATGACAGGCAGTATAAAGCTCGAAATGAATGGCGTTTCCCCTTCCCCTTCAGACGTCGTAGTGCTAGACTCGTAAGGCGAACTATACATTCTTTAGGGTTCAATAGTTTGCTGTCGAGTCGCTTCTGAAATACAGTACTTTCATCTCTAAAACTGTCAAAATTGTATCTTGTTGTATTCACTGTTTCCGTGAGTATGACATTGGTGTTTTAGTTAGGGTTGCCAGACTAGAGTCGGGTTTACCAATCAGAGAAAGCTATTAAAAATCGGGACTTCGAACAAAAATCGGGACACTTTTTTTTTAAAGGAATACTTTATCACGAGGGGTAAACCACCATGAAAAATTTGTACACCAGAATTCCACTGTTAACGAAATTCCACAAAATCCTACTGGAATTCCACGGAATCCTTTTGAGTTTCTGCAGAATTCAAAAACCAGTCAGTGTCAAAGTGAATTTCATTGGTTGAAACTAGTTTTCTGACTGTTTTCAACCAATAGGCAATTTTTCGCAAGGATATTCAAGTAGGTATATTTATGCTGGATTATCCGCATGTGGCTAAATTCACCAAAATGTTGCACCGCGATTTGGTGATTACGATTCACTAATGTCAATGCCAAACCACAGCTTGCTACTACGGTGTCTACATCAGCTAAATTTAGCCATACGCCGTATGTAATGTGTCAATTGTGCCCTACTTCCCTAACTCCCCTACCATCAAATTCTGGGATACTCAAGGATCAAGAACACTTAATTTCTTCTATGAGAACAGATCGAAAATCACCTTTTCTACATTTAAAATCAACGAAAAAATTAACTCACTAGCACAGCCTGCATCGCGAGCATTTCATCAAGGTCTGCGGATGACGTTATCACTATATAAGCTGCTGATAGTGGCGTCACTCGCAGGCCCAAAATTTGTTGGGAGGGAGAACAATGAAACTTCTAATAAAATTTAAAAATATAGCAAAATAATAAAATGCATCAGTTTATTTATATCGTCGACAGGCGCGGATCCAAGCCTAAATTAAGGGGGGGGGGACATACAAAATATTGGAAGGTACAGAGTGTGGTTATAATTTGACACCCCACCTTTATAGGTAGATGATAGGATTAAACACAAAAGTGGAGCAGATTTAGCTAAATTATTGTCAGAAATTTGAAATTTTGCGTACTTCCAACTTTTTCCAAATAGAATGCCCTATATTTGATTCTATATTCTTGAAGAGCACAATTTGCCGATTCCAAAAATATATAGCTTCTCTATATTTAGTTGAGCCGTCTTCACCATATTTGGCTTCAAAAATTTTAAAAATACTATCAGAGAAACCAAGTGCCTCAAATTTTACCTGAAGCTTTCATCAGAATGGTTCACAAAATCGTCAGTAGGATAGTATTTTTCCAATTTTTAGAGCTATAATGTTGAAGACGGCTTAAACAAATATAGACAAACTATATATTAGAAGCAAATATATGGCAAGTCATTTAAAAAAGTTGAAAGTACGCAAAATTCCAAATTTCTTTTTGTTTTTGACGATGGATTCTGAAAATTTAGTTAAAACTGTACAACTTTTGTGTTCACACCTATCATCTACCTGTAAAGGTGAAGACTGCAGGTCGGGTGTCAAAATATAACTAGACACCCTGTACATACAAATAGATTAGGCTAGAGGCCCGTGATAAAATGATGACGCCATGAAATAAAATTCTGTTATATACGGGCCCTAGTAAACCCGTAAAAATTGGTCGATTTAATGCTGATTTTTAAAATTATTGTTCCTTATCTAGGGGCGGGCATGGCCCATGGCCCCCATGCATGGCCCCTCCCTGGATCCGCGCCTGATCGTCGAAATCAAAAAAAATCTTTATAATAGTTATGATAATTATAATAGATAATTATAACCAGTACAACTCAAAAATAAGTGACTGATAAGTACTTTTATTTTTTTAAAAATTCTAAAAAGAATTTCCTGAAATCGGGACATTTAGCGTCCCGATGCATAGTTCATCGGGACACAGGACATAACCTTTAATATCGGAACTGTCCCGTTAAAATCGGGACGTCTAGCAACCCTATTAGTTTTAGTTCTTCTGGGTTCTTGTTCATTTTCCTAAATTGCAACTTTATTTTGGCTCTTACTAAAAAATGATTTGACCTGCAAGTTATTTCTCTTACGGATTGTGGGTCTTACAGAGATGTATGAGCCTTTGGCCATTATCATTGATTATTGCTTCTCCAAATGGCCTTACAACTGGGCTTGTTCATTCTTCCCGTTTTTCCATTGAAATCATTGTGTCTATCATCTATTTCTTCCAATATCTACTAGGATTTCATCCAATTTGTCAAAGAACTCCTGCTTTATATTGACTCTTTCGTCCTCTGATGGAGCGTATAGGCTGCTAATTTCAAGTTAACCATATTCGGATATCTTCATCTAAAGGTTTTCAATTGTTAACTTTGTTTTTCCAGTTTTTCAGTATGAATATCCCTCTAGCTGCTCTCATTTCCTTTGACACTCCAGTTAAAAGGTGAATGAGTCAACTTGTAACCTTATTATAAATAAATGACATCTTCTAAAAACAATGCCAAAGTCCTTCGAGTCTGGACAAAAGTTTCCTTCTCATATGCTAACTTTGGAATGAAAAGTTTGCATATATGTTCGTATTATTTTCTACCTACTAGCGTGCGAGTGCGAAAAGTTCACTTTATCGCACTTATTTGCAAGTGGAGAGTAGCACTTTACCGCACACTAAAAGGCCGGTTTCTCAATAGCGAATCACCCCCGGGTTAAGCATAACTCCAGACTCCAGGGTAAACGAGAAACCGGCCCTATTTGATAAAGTAGACTGCAAAGTGTGCGGTAAAGTTGCTTTACAACATTTGTTAGGTAAATAACTATTATGCCCATCAAATTATGCTATCAAACTAACTTACCTCTGTGCTTGGATAACTATTGAGTCTTTTTCTGTTTGAACTTCAATATTTTTGCTGGTAAATCCTGCTTTATGGAAGGAGAGTTTGGCTTTCAACAATAATAATTATTACTTTTTTTAATTAAACAGGAAAATTTATAATGTTTATAACAGAATCGTCTGACAACAAACAAAAAACAAAATTCAAATCCATAGCCTTCTTGTTCTTGTTTACATTCAGCGTCCCTAGAGGGCGTTGATCAAAGAACTCGTTTCTTCTTTTTTTAATTGCCTTATATGAAAAGAGATAGAACTAATTTGGATGTACTGACAAGTGACAACTCGCAACGATTTGAGGTTAGGAAAATGAAAATGGAAAATGGCGCCCACTACTTTTCTTTTCATAGCTTCTTAATTTTCCTCAATATTTTTGTACTTTTAACAATTTAGTGTTTAAGCCAGTTCAAAAAACATTATTAAATTACAATACAATGGCCATCAACACAACCTTCAATCTTCAAGTAATTGGTAAGTACATAATAACATTATAATTAAATTAAAATCTTATTTATTATAAATTAATACAATCTCAATATTTCTTCTTCTTTTCCTGCTTATTCTTTTTATGTTTATCTTTCTTCTGCTTCTTTTCCTTTTTATGTTTCTTTTTCTTCTTCTTCTCATCACTATCTTTTTCAATCCATTCGTCTTCGCTCTCAGTGGAAATCACTTGAACAATTTCTTCTATTTTAATGGGGTTTTCAGGTATTTTGGGCCCATACGAGTCAATTTTTACCTTCTCGACAACTTCTTGTTGCAACTTTCTTGCCGGCTTGACAAACTTGTGAATGCCCGACAAAACTCCTTCTTTTAACGGTTTAATTTTCGGCAACAGTAACTGTTCAGATAGTACTACTGATTTCAGTTCTTCTTTACGGATTTCTTCACTTTTTGATTTATCTTCTTCCTTGGGAGCTTCTTCTTCTGATTCGCTATCGCTACTCAGGAAAACTGCTTTAAATAAGTCTTGTTTTTCTTCTAAATGAATCCGTTCAGTTATATCAATTGGCTTGAAAACTTCAGGTTCAGGTTCTGGTTTAATCTCTTCAGTAACAAGTGAAGGTTCTTCTTGCTTTGCTTCTGGTTCTTCAATAATTGCTTCTTTTTTAAGGCCAGGTTGCAAATTCGCCTCTTCTTCCTTGTGCTTCTGATACTCGAAAATAATGTTTTTGGTTTTGGTTCGTGACTTCTCAGGCCGACTAAAAAAAAAAGAGAATTATTATTGTTTTGTTTATTTACTTCAGTCTACAATGCTCAAAGTAAACCAACAGATTATGGAATTCATTGCCTTTTAGAAGCCTTTTCTAGAATTTCTCAAAAAAAAAATCCTGAACTCAATCTACAGGGTTTTGGTCCAAATACTTAAACACCCTGTAACTGAGGTACCTATTCGATTTTTGGAAAAAAAGTCAAATAGAGCCTCTACAAGCCTACAAAATCCTTCCAACCCCAACTTTATAAAGGATGTATGAAAAAAGTTGGAAACTTCAAAAAATTGTTAAATCTTGACGCATTTAAGCTGAGAGATTTCTAACATTTTAAAAACAGGTTGTAGACAGACAAAATTCTGAAAATTTAAAAAGCAATTCATTGCCTTTTACCACCCAGGAAGCTGGTCTTCTTTGGGAAAAGCCTACAAATTTTGGTCACCAGAGTCATGACTCCAAAATGCAATCTACAATTAAAATCTTGAATTACTTACTCAGCAAATGGTTCAGGAACGTTGAACCTTTTGCACAATAAAGCACAAGGCTGCCAATCTGTTGTAATCCTAGTTAAACCTCCAAACATTTTCATCCTTGCAGCTTCTCGCATTTGTTCTGTTCCATGAATTGTTTCCATTTTCTCTACTGTCTCTAAAATATTAGCTACGTTTTCGTCTTTTGTTGAAGATACAAATTTATCATTCAAATATGAATTAATTATAGCTTCATTTTTTTCTTGTTTAGGTGTGGGTGCTTTTTGAATAATTGGTTCTGATAAAGTTTGTTCCTCTTGCACATCTTCGCCTAAATATTTAGCTCTAGTCATTGGATTTATTTTGCTAGTAGTTGCTTTAGGTTCTTCCTCCACCACTGGCTCGAATCTAGATTTTTTAATTTTATGTTTTCCAGTAAAACTATGAGGTATTGTAGGAGGTGGAAATAATAAGTCACTCTTCAATACTGGACTTTTTTTAGATTTTTCAAACATTCCTAATATGAGCTTATTAGAGTCTTGTTTAGCTTTTGCTTTTTTATTTTCCGCAGTCAATTCAAAATCGTATTTGGTCATGTCGTCTTTCATGTAGATATCGTCATCTTCTTCTTCGAAGGCCCCAACCCCAAACGCCTGCCCTGTTATCGATACTTTTTTGTTTTTATCTGTAGTTACCAGTTTAGCTGCGTTTTTAACAGGAAAAAGACTAAAGTGGCTTTTTTCTAAACCGGAATATCCCAAACCGAATGTATTTGTTTTAGGTGTTGCAAGGAAATCTTTATACATTTGAGGAATTTCGTATTGAATTTCTTCTTTACCGATACTGTTTTCGATTTTGGGCATTTGACAACCATAAGTTTTTTCTTCTGGTTCATCAAAACTATCCTGCTTTTTTTTAGTTTTATCTTGAAGCCTTAAATTCTTCAAAAGCATATAACCAACAGTTTCGTTGCCACTAGTCAATATATTATGCAGCACTGGTTCGCCAGGAATAGGCCCTTCAGAAAACATTTGCTTCTTCCTTTTTTTGCTTGTGTTATAATCGCTGGTGGCTTTGACTACTTGAGGCGCTATACCATCCTCTCCTACATCTTCATCGTCCATAAAATCCAAAGGTTTTTGAGTGAAGCCTTTGGATTTTTCGCTTCGGGAACTTTTGAACTCGCTGGGCGTCCAACCTTCCAGGGAGCCCACTGTGTTGAAAAATCCAGCCGAAAAACCTCCGGTGAAGGCTCCGTGGAATCTGCGACGACCCTGAGCATCTGTAGCAATTTGTTCTTCGACGGAAATGGGGCGTCTTTTAGGAATGGAATCTGAAATTTTATTTGTTTTAGTTATCGAGGGGTGGTTTTTGTTTAATGGGTTTGTGATATGTATTTCTAATGCATTCCATTTCACTTGGGTATAATGTATAATATAATAAATAGCAACTAGTAATACCTTTTTTGTATTACAATTTTATTCGCAAATAATGAGAAAACTTCTATTAATTATGAACAAATATAGATAGAAAGCTGAAATTTTTACTGAATCTTATCTCAATAAGGGGACTACAATCCCTGAAAATTTCAGCTCATTTTCACTTATAGTTCCTGAGATAAAATCGTGTTAGGCAATTTGGGGTGATTTATCAATTTTTCAATTTTTCTGAGTGCCTTTTTTCATAGATTTCGGCCTCAAATCTGAGAGTAATTTAGTATATGGAGTTTGGGGTATGTTGATTGACCATTAGGATACAAAATCTTGACAAAAAAAATTTGAAATTTCATCGTTTTAGTAAGAAGGTAGGTACCTACCTTATGATTTAGATTTTGGAAAACTTTGAAAGGTCATAACTTTTTGTCTATTATACAGTGTGTCCACTTAAGTTTGCAGCAAACTTTGTTATTATCAATTTTACGATTGTTCTTTATAAAAGTTTCTGCTTCTTGAAAAAATAGTATTAAACTATTAAAAATTTCAATAGCATGTACAGGGTGGTCAGAAAATAGAAAAATATACAGAATTTTTTGGTAAAAGTAGAAAAAAATGGCACGTCACTATTTTTTAGAATCTTTGATATTTTTTTCAGATTAAGCAAGTCATATTACAGTCAAAAGATACCTTTCGTTATCATAAACAGACCTGCCAAATTTGAAAAAAACATTGGAAAGGGATTTTTCAGCTAAAAAAACTTTGAAAAACTATTTTTTTCTAAAACTTTGACACCCTGTGTCTCAGAAACTACGCATTTCTGGACACGTGTTTATAGGAACTTTTTTTCTTAAAATATTGTAAGGAATCATATCCTGAAGTTACGAACCGTACTTAAGAAACACCCTGTATATTTTTCTATTTTTTGACCACCCTGTACATGCTATTCCAAGTTTTAGTAAGTAGATTCATATTATTTTTTCAACAAGCAGAAACTTTTTTTCGTAAAATTGATAATAAAAAAGTTTCCCATATGCTGCGAACTTAGGTGGACACACTGTAGATAGAGAGCTGAAACTTTCACTGAATTTTATCCCTTTCAAGGGACTACAATCCCTGAGAATTTCAGTTCATTTTCACTTATAGTTCCTGAGATAAAATCGTGTTAAGCAATTTGGGGTGATTTATCAATTTTTCAATTTTTCTGAGTGCCTTTTTTCATAGATTTCGGCCTCAAATCTGAGAATAATTTAGTGTATGGAGTTTGGGGGATGTTAATTGATCATTAGGATACAAAACCTCAACAACAAAAAAATTTGAAATTTCATCGTTTTAGTGAGAAGGTACAGTTGCGATCAAAAAAAAGTAGTACAAAAATTATTAGCCCCAATTTGAGCTCCCGGTGTAACATACAAAATTTTGACAGGCAATGCCATATTCTAGGTTAAAAACTGGTAGAAAAATGCCAAAGTAATGTCATCTGAGGCTTTCTAGTTTAAAAACTTGTCGAAAAATGCCAAAAATATGTCATTTTTGGTTATGAATTATAGATAGAAAGCTGAAATTTTCACTGAATCTTATCTCAATAAAAGGACTACAGTTCCTGAAAATTTCAGCTCATTTGCACTTATACTTCCAGAAATAAAATCGTGTTAAGCAATTTGGGGTAAATTTATCAATATTGTACGGTGGTGTTACTGTAACTTCTGGGTAACTTTACACAAACACATCATTTTTTACTAAATAACATATAACTTGGAAATCGAGGACAGATTAATGTGAGTTTCCAAATAATTTTTAAGGTTGAGGAAAATATTAAATTTTTTTTGGTACCTATGTACTTTACTCAGTACTTCACTTATAAGAAGTGATACTTTACACACAATCAGAGACATAATTTTTCAGTTGAAGCTGATTAAAAATCAAAATGAGTGACTCTGACAGAAGAAACTTATTTTTCTATCCCTAGGAGGATAATATATCTAGGCAAAGTGGAGACGACCTCTGAGAGTTTAATCTAGACTATGCTTCGACAGAGCCGTAACTAGATCTGTTTGCGCCTGTGGCAGCTTATTAATTTGCGCCCCCGCCCCATATTTAATGTAGAAAAGTGGGTAACTGATATAAAAATTCCTGTTTCACTTGAAATTATTTCAAATAAAATATTAACATCAAAAACTCAAAATTTGAAGTATCACTAAATAACGACAATAACATAACCTATTATGTAATAGCAAAAACAAAAAACAGGTAAAGGAAACACAAAAGAAGAGGATTATTGACTATACAGGGTGTCTGCATAACTTGAAGTACATGGGGGTTTCGAAAACCAGTGAAGATACAGGGTGGACCAAATGTGGAAAACGCACTCAATCAAAAGCCTACAAATAATCTGTCATCAACTTCTTTGAACTCGGAATAGCAGAGGATATACAGGGCAAAAAAGAAAAAAGTGTGTATTTATTTTGTAATTCAAATTGCCCCATGTACTTCAAGTTATTCCAGACACCCTGTATAAGCTTAAGCTTACTAAAGGAACGCTCACACGTAGCAGTAGTCAATGGAAGGCTCAGAAATATTGTTAAAGCCGAGGTTAGAGCTGTCCATATGTTGAGATAAATATTTTCAAGAATAAAGTCATGCATACTTTACTTTGCAACATTTATAAAGGTCCCATTTCGATAAAATTGTCAAGCTGTTGTTCGCCTAAGGATTTTTAAAATTCCATTTTATTTGTTAATTCTAGCTTTTTTTTAAACCTGAGAGTCATTTCCTCGATAGCAGAACCACTGAGAAAAACCGAAATCAGCTGTCACTGTATTGAGAATAACAAATCTTTCTTCAATCTATGTTATAATTGCCTGAATGACATGAAAGAGTTCAATTTCCAAATGTGTTTTGGAAAAGATGGGCTTCGTCATATCCTTCCTAACCAGGCATTTTTGGTTTCTATCTTCCTCTGGGTTGTTTTAGTACCATACCATATCAATAAATCAATATTAATTTCGCTGTATCAAGAATAAAATCCGGAAAGCGCTTTTTCCAAGTCATACGCCTTGACCAGCTCTTCTAGCTTTTCAACATGTCAAAAGAATTCTCTCATGGCAGCTTCCAGTCCTCAAGGATCTGAGAAGCACAACTAAAGCCTAATAGTAAATTCAAAATTGCATTTTCACAATGTCTTTGTTTCTGAATGCTAGAAATTCCTAGAAAAGGCTCTTCTTGACCTCTTATCCTTCCAAAGGCAACTTCCAGCTAGAGTTAGAATAGGTAAATCAATGTATCAAGAAAGTCCAGCTTAAGGGCTTAGAAGCTCTTCTAATCTTGGAAATGCAATTTTGCTTTTTATCTGGGAGTCGGAAATTGCCTTAAGAATTTTTTTAACAAGTCAAACATTGCCTTGACAAACTCTTCTGGCTTTTAAACATGTTAAAAAAATTATCTCATGACAACTTTCAGTCTTCAGGGATCTGAAAAGCGAAATTCAATCCTAATATTGAATTTAAAATTGCATTTCACAATGTTTTTGTTTCTGGATGCTAGAAATTGTTAAGAATTTATGTAAGCTTAGTTTCTCATTAGGAGATAGCGCTCTATGTTTTAGATACGATTTTAATAATGTGCAACCTGCTAATATTGCAATGACATGAAATGTGTGTTCTGTCAACTTTGTCAATGTTGTTGGTTGCTCTCTTCTATTGTACCCGAATTGTTAATAATAAATACGTTGTTTAAAGTCGTCGAATCTGGGATTTTATTAATATAAAATAACAGGTTATGGGCCCAGCTCACCCAAGAAAGAAATACTAATTTGTGAAAAAGAAGCAAGACTTCAAAAGCATAAAAATGAATGTGATAACAGTACCTCAGTTGAATGCCGAAAATTTTAACAATTGGAAGTTCAGAGTGGGAGCTTTATTGGAAGAAAAACAGATAGAAGATACGTTGGAAAAGGTTTTAGACGACTTCACTGGAGATAAAGAAAAATCAGAATTTAAGGTAAGAGATGCAAAGGCCAAATCAATAATAGTACAATGTATAAGCGTCAAACACCTTGATATAATAAAAGACTCCAAAACAACAAAAGAAATGTTAAAGGCACTGGAAGATGTATTTCAAAGACGAAGTGTATTTACTAAACTGACACTTAAAAAACGATTAGTGACCTTGAAACATAAACGAAACGAAAAGCTAGAAGACCATTTTCATAAATTTGACACGTTAATAAGAGAACTAGAAAGTATTGGATCCAAGGTAGAGGAAGAAGATAAAGTTTGTCATCTTTTATTAACACTTAATGAAGAATTTGATCCAGTAATTACAGCAATCGAGACAATGAATAGTAAAGTAACAATGGACTTTGTGAAGTCTCGCCTACTCGATGAAGAACTGAAGTTTAAAGCAAAACAAGGACATAGTGTTACCCAGCTAGAACAATCTTTTAAAGCATTTCAATTAACTTGTTTTAAATGTGGTAAAGTTGGACATAAAATAGCTGATTGTCGGCTGAATTCGAATACAGTTACACGAGGGAATTACAGAGGTCGGAGAAACAGCAGAAGAGGATATTATCAGTCAAATTATCAAAACAATAGGGGTCAAAGCCATGGTCAATTTCAACCAGGTAACAGAACAGGGCTCCAAGCAAATAAGGCAGACGAAATTGCATTCATTGCATTAAGCACTGTAACCTCACCATGTGCAATAAACAGCTTCATCCTGGATTCAGGATGCACTCAACATATGGTAATGGGGGATTTAGAAAAGTACATGTCAGATGTCAAGGATCTAGAACACGAAATTAAAATTGGAACAGCCAAAGAAAAAGAAATTCTGTATGCAAAGAAGAAAGGAACAATTAAGGGAATCTGCCAAAGAAGAGAGATAACAATTGAAGCTTTATTAGTTGAAGGTATGTCACACAATCTTATGTCTGTATCTAAATTGCTTAAAAATGATTTTCAAGTTATTTTCAATAATGATATGTCTGGTAATAAGTGTGCCATTTTACTAAAAAATGATTCTAAATTTTATTGTAATTCTCATAATGATTTATTTTATTTAAATATTGATTTTAAAACTGATACTAACATTAATAGACAAAATGAATGTAATAATAATTGTGAAGTTGATATTAAGTTAGGTAATGAGTGTGTTTATACAGCACATGAAAGTCTAGGTAAAGACATATGGCACAGAAGGCTAGGTCATATTAACAGATTTAATTTAAAGAGATTAGGTTTACCGTTTAGTCAAGAAATTTGTAAGAGTTGTATTGAAGCTAAAAGTACCCGAAAACCATTTTATAATAGTCAAAAGAAAACCGTCAAAATTGGTGAATTGATACATTCTGATATCGCAGGTCCTGTAGTAACTCCTACTCCAGAAGGTTATAAATACTTTCAAGTATTGATTGATGATTTTTCTCATTTCTTGGTAGTTAAATTGTTAAAGAATAAAAGTGAAGCTTATCAAAATGTTATTGATTTTGTTCGATTAATTAAAACTCGACACAGTTTAAAAACAAAAAGAATAAGATTAGATAATGGAGGGGAATTTATATCAGATTATTTTAAAAAAATTTGCAGAACTAAGGGTATTCAGCTCGAGTATACGATGCCATATACTTCGCAGGAAAATGGAACATCAGAACGTATGAATCGAACATTGTTAGACAGGGTGAGAACCAAATTTGCAGAAACTAAATTACCCAGAAAACTATGGGGAGAAGCAATACTATGCTCAGCTTATGAATTAAACCGGTCACCAACTGAAGCAAACAATGGTGAAACGCCGGCAAAGAGATGGTATAACAAGAACGATTTATCAAAGTTGAGAGTATTTGGTAGTCAAGCATGGGCTGTAATTTTACCAAGAAATAATAAACTAGGACGAAGGGCAAAGCCATGTATCATGATAGGATATTGTGGGGCAGGATATCGGTTGTGGAACTATATTGAAAATTTAACTTTTTGCTCAAGAGATGTTAGATTTAATGAAAAAGAAACAAATTATGATAATATTCTAAAGGATGAAAATATTGATAATAAAAGAGAAATGATAGTACCGATTGAAAATGAATTAGACATAAAAGAAGGAGAAAACGATATTGAAATTGAAGTTCGTGAAGACGAAATCAAACCAGGTGGAAGCGATAGAGAAGAATCCGACAATTTAAAAAAATTTGAAACAAAACTCAGATCAAAGGAAACAAGCACCGGAAGAATAATTAATAAACCAAAATATTTAGACGAATATGAGGTCTATCAAGCATACTGTTTAATTTCGACCGAAGAAAGTGATCCAATAGAGTACAAAGATGCTATTAAAAATAAGGAATGGAAAGATGCTGTGGAAAAATAATTAGTTTCACATGCAAAATTAAATACTTGGACAGAATCAAATGTACCAGATGGAAAATCTGCAATACAAACCAAATGGGTGTTTCGAACAAAAGAGGATGGAACCAAAAAGGCCCGAATTGTGGCAAAGGGATGAAACAAAAAGATCCATTTAATCCTGTATATTCGCCTGTTGCAAGGTTATCAACAATAAGGCTATTAATATCAATGGCATTACAAAGAGATTTTAAAATAAGACAACTAGACATCCCAACTGCATTTCTAAACGGAAAATTAGAAAGTGAAGTTTATATATATGCACCTTTAGGACTAAAAGTAAAATCACCTACACTAAAATTGAATCGAGCCTTATATGGATTAAGGGAGTCACCAAAAGTATGGAATGATACTTTCAATAATTTTGCAATTGGAAACAATTATAAAAGATCACTGTATGACTGTTGTCTATACTTTAATCAGAAAACTTGGATATTAATTTATGTCGATGACATGTTAGTCGTTGGCAAAAAAAAAGATGTTGAAGAGGCAGTAAAACTCTTGAAAGATTTCCAAGCCAAAGACTTAGGCGAAGTTAAAAATTTTTTAGGAATGAACATTACAAGAACTGAAGAAGTTACAGAAATAAACCAAAGAAAATTTATAGAAAAGTTACTGACAACATTCAAGATGGAAAATTGTCATGGAAAAACAACACCAATGGAGAAAGGATTTCAATACAACACTGAGAGCGAAATAATTAATGTACCTTATAGAGAGTTAATTAGAGGACTAATGTACCTATCAATAACTACCAGACCCGACATTACATTTTCAGTATCATATTTAAGTCGATTTTTAGATAAACCAACAATGGAGACTTGGAATGCAGGAAAAAGAGTTTTGAGATATTTACAGGAAACCAAAATGAAAACTTTAACCTATTATAAAACTGATATTACTAAATTAAAACTCACTGGATATTCAGATGCAGATTGGGCAACTGACAAAATAAACAGGAAAAGTGTAAGTGGATGTATTATATTGTATGGTAAAAATCCAATATATTGGTTCTCGAAGAAACAAAGTTGTGTTGCACTGTCTACTGCAGAAGCAGAGTATGTGGCAGCGGCTACTTGTGCACAGGATTTAGTGAACCTTAAGGGGATTTTGAATGATTTTGAAGTTGATAATGAAACGATTTTGTATTGTGACAATAAGAGTTCAATTCTAATGTCAAAAAGTAACAAAAACTCTAAAAGGGCGAAGCATATAGATATAAAAAATCATTACTCGAAAGATTTAGTTGCACGAAAGGAAATAACAATTAACTATGTATCAACTGATCAAAATTTGGCGGATATATTAACAAAATCTTTAACTAAAGATATATTTGTCTATCTAAGAAATAAGGTTCACATTGTTTAATCGAGTACCTAATTCAGTTTAGTTCTTTATTTTATTTTATATAACATTTAAAATCGAGGAGGAGTGTTAAGAATTTATGTAAGCTTAGTTTCTCATTAGGAGATAGCGCTCTATGTTTTAGATACGATTTTAATAATGTGCAACCTGCTAATATTGCAATGACATGAAATGTGTGTTCTGTCAACTTTGTCAATGTTGTTGGTTGCTCTCTTCTATTGTACCGGAATTGTTAATAATAAATACGTTGTTTAAAGTCGTCGAATCTGGGATTTTATTAATATAAAATAACAGAAATTAGTGGAAAAGGCTCTTTTTGACCTCTAATCCTTCCAAAGGCAACTTCCAGAGTCAAAATAAAGCAATGAATCAAGAAAGTCCAGCTCTAGGATAAAAGTTCTCCTAATCTTGAAATGCAATTTTGCTTTTTATCTCTGGGAGTTGGAAATTGCAATAAATCAATATCTATTTCGCTGTATCAAGAATAAAATACGGAAAGTGCTCTTTGAAGTTTTGGTGTGTTGCGCAAAAGGCGCTTTACGCTTAACGATTAGTGGCAGGCTGCGCCCTTCTGAAGCTTGCGCCTATGGCAAATGCCACTTTCGCCAAGCTCTAGTTACGGCACTGTGCTCTGATTAGACACAAAAATGGAAAGGAATAAACCACTGTTTTTGTAAAACACTTGGCAACCCAGAGGAGATATAAAACTTCTAGATGCACTTCTGGAACATAGAGATACTCAAAATCCTACTGTAACAGTATACAATGAAGCTGCTCCTGTGTGCTCAATCACTAATGATTTTTCAGAATCTAGCCAATCTATATGCTACCAGATGCTGGGTAACTCTTATTACCAGTAGCTCAGAGGCAAAAAAAGAAGTGGCACACCTGAATTGCAACTAAACCAGGAGTTGCAACTGGCTCTATACAAGACTAAGAATTGATAAATCATGAAAATAAACAATCTGAAGATTCACAATATCAACTATGCAGATCATCTACAATCTGAACTCAGCCAAAGGATTTCTTATAGATTATAGATCATGTCAAAAACTAGACTGGGGGAGAATGTAATATTATTTCTAATGCATTCCATTTCACCAGGCTAATATATACATTGATACTGTTAAATGTAGGGATTGAAAAACGAAAGTTAAGATGCGAATAAAAGCCCAATTTAGAAAGATTTATTTATTATTATTATTATAGTGGGCTTACCTTCATCGTATGGGTCGAGGGCTTGTCCGTAAAAGCAAAAATTGTCGTTATCATCTTCAGAATCAGACATTTTTAGTTATTATTTATTGAAAATGTTTGCAAAACAAACACATATAACCTTACAAAGTCAGCTGATGGATTGGTCTGAGCCATGAGCGAGAGAGAGAGTATTTTTCCTTACATTATGCATTGAAATGAGATACACAGCCAAAAGCCTAGTAGCAGCAACAATTAATTATTTATAAAAGAAAACTGCAAATAATAGATATTATCCAATTTTTATTTATCAATAATTATTTCTGCAATATATACGTGATATTGCCTAATAACACTCTTTGGATTAAAACATTATCTCAATAATTCCATAAAAATTCTATTTACAAAGTTGGAAAAAAGCTCGAAATTAATTTAAACAATCATCTCCAAAATACTATAGAGGCATATTCCTGTTACTTTTTAAGCGCATTATCGATCCACAATGTCAATTTGTCTTCGTCTTGTAGCCCCACAAGCCTCTCGGTGACTTTTCCGTTGTGAAATACTACCAGAGCTGGAATAGTGCTCACCTGCGACAAACATTTGAATTAACACCTTAATTAATACAACTACAAATGTAAATACTTCATATTTAGCTGCCAATTCTCCTAAATCGTCAATATCAACTTTGGCTACTGAAATACCGCCCTTTCTTTGAGCAATAATGTTTTCCAAACGAGGTTCTAGGGCTTTGCAAGGACCGCACCACCTAAAACAACCTTGAATTAAGTACCGAAGGAATAAAATTGCAAGTTACTCACTTGGCAAAAAAGTCCACAATTACAGGCTCTTTGCTGTTTTGCACTTTGTCGACGAAATCGTCTTCGTCTTGGACTTTAAATGAGCCACGTTTTATGGCAGAAGTCGCTACACTACGTATACCCATCGATGACAGGGTCTTGCTCAGGCCTCTTGCAATTAGATTATTCATTTTTTTTGTGGAGTGATTGTGTGCTTAATTACTTAAAATTTAATTTAAAATGACTAGACTTGTGACTGGAGAAAATGAGATGGATTTTTTTGAATGTATGAATGAATTGGCAATAATGACAGTAAAGTGACTTTGTTGTGACTGAAAATATTAGAGAAGGGTTGCTTATCGATACGAGATTGTTATATCGATTATACAACTCACTGTACATTATTTCCAGATGACACGAGAGGCTTAATAATAAGTGATAAGCCTTTTGGGATTATCGCGCTTGGTGGCATTTATACCAAATTCTATTATAGATTTTTTTTAAATTTTGAAGTATTGAAGTTTAGTTCGTTGTATAACCTTTTGAATACCACTCGATGTTCCAGGATTACCTAATACTTTTACCTGACACTCAACGCATTACCAGCAACACCACTCCTCCTTCGGAGTCGTGGTGTTGCTGCGTTACGCGTTTCGTGACAGGTAAAAGTATTATCCGGTAATCCTGAAACCTCTTGTGATATTACATTACAAAATTAAATAGAGTCGTTATGTTTTAGCTTAGGACCTCTTTTATAGTCGGTCCTTGGGGTTTCCTTAGACCTCAAAAAAATCTTGAACGTTAAAAGATCAATTCACACATAACCAGGGTTGTTGCAGGCTACACAATTGTGTAGTTTGCTACACAATTGGAGTATTGATTACACTTTTGCTACACTTTTTAATAAACTGCACAGAAATGCTACACAATGGATCAATCACCTATTCCGTAACTCAAAATTCTTGAAACGGTAGTGAATTTAGCCACAAAGTGACAAAAGTGTTGAGTGTCAGAGTCGAGATCTGGTTCTAAAGTCTGTTTTTTTTTTAAAGATAATTCCCCAAGTCAAAAATTTAGTAACTATGTTGGCAACACAAGCCTTTTCTACATAAAAAATTTGAAAGCATCGACAATTTTACATTGTATTGCCAACATAATGTAATTTTGACTTTTATCTTAAAAAAAAAAAACAGGCTTTATATTTCGTTAGAATCGGAAATGTCGCAAGCTTCCAGAATACTCCAGGACTATAACCTTAACCTCAAAGTACAAATTCAGAGCACTGTTGGAAAGGTTGTTTGTTGCATGATAGATAACTTTATGACATCATCTGGGGTGCCTCAACATGATGCAAATCTCCATAAGGCATCCCACATGCGTCATCAAGTTACCCATTATCAGACAACCTATTAACTTTATAGTTTAGGAACTTTGCACTGTTGGGGTTTTAGGTTGTGCTCGTGGAGAAAAAGATGTCGCGAGCGTCCGCTGTCAGATGCCTATTCGATTGTTAAATTGATACTGCACAATGGCAGCAAATATCCAGTTAAGTTCCCCAAAATTTTGTAGAGGGCGCGAGTGAACTTGGAGTGCTTTGAATTTTGGCGGTAAATGTCAATAGTTTTAAACTGTTTTAATCTTGTTTTAATAAGTAGAAGGAAAGATAACTACATATGAACAATGAACAGTGAATAGATTAAAATATCTTCCAAAACGTTCAGTGGCCCTTAAAGAATATTTTCAAAAGTGTCAGCGTCGTTGAAACCACACATCAAACTTGTCTTTTGAGGTTAAAATTACATGCGATTATTCACGCGCCAAAATTTAAAGACCTCGAAGTACACAAGCGCCCTCTTCAACTCAACTGTCAATATTACATGCCATTGCTTGAAATGCTACACAATTTCAAATTGAAAATCTACACATTCAAAAATTGGCCTGTAACAACCCTGCACATAACAGTGACGTGACAGTGTCGTAACCGGCACGTGATGTTACCGGTTAAAGTCAAAATTTATTCTCATGGGAATTTGATCATTAATGGTATACTGTACAGGGTTATTGGTTATAAATGTTACCCCCTCTATCTTTTTTATTTGACATTTTAGAAAAAAGTGTTCCAAATAGAAAATGTATGGTTGAAATTAAATTTTTTGAAAAACTCACTTTTGCATATACATTCAAAAAAGCTGGTCGTGCTCCAACTTTCTTATTTTAAATTGAATACCCTGTATATTATACAATATTCGAATTCTACGTCAAATTCTGAGCAAATTTCATGAGATATACCCTATACTTAAGTTCAACTGTTTTGGAAATATTGACAGTTGAAAATTGACTTCTTTGCAAATTTGACAGGCTGTAAAACCTAAACGGTTAACTTTTGAGCAAAACCGATCTCACATTTTTTTCTAAGATTTTCACAAGTTATCATTTGACACCAACTTTGAATTTAACCGAAGATATATTTAATTGGAATTTTCAATCATGGATTAAATTCAAAGTTGATGTCAAATATTGATGTCAACTGATAGCTTATAAAAATCTAAGACAAAAATGTAAGATCGGTTTTGCTCTAAAATTAACTGTTTAGGATTTACAGCCTGTCAAAGTTGCAAAAAAGTCAATTTTCAACAGTCGAACTTAGGTATAGGGTATATCACATGAAATCTGTTCAGAATTTGACGAAGAATCCGAATATTGAATAATATACAGGGTATTCAATTTAAAATAAGAAAGTTGGAGCACGACCAGCCTCTCTGAAACACCCTGTATATGCGAAAGTGAGTTTTTCAAAAAATTTAAATTCATAATTCATTCATAAAACTTTTATTTGGGACACTTTTTTCTAAAATGTCAAATAAAAAAGATAGAGGGGGGTGACATTTATAACCAATAACCCTGTACACTACTGTACAGGGTGCTGCAATTTGGAGTGTTTTAACAGGAAAAACACACTTCCAGACCAGATAGAGGAAAATTGACTTAGATGTCATGGGATCGATTTTCGAGAAACGTCGATTGTCAAAAACCGTATCGCGATATCTTCAATGGTACTATTAATACAGGGCGATTTTCGATTTTCCCCTATTATGAAAAATGGCTATAAGTTTTTTATTTATCATTTTTTTTCATTTCTGTAAAAACATTATGGAGACACTTTTTTGAGCACAATCCAGTGGCGGACTCGGTTTTTTTCTATATCGCTCCGATTTCGAGATATCGACCAAATTCCGATATTTTCAAATGAAACATCCTTTATATTAATAGCTCATTGGATAGCTCTGTTTTTGCTGATTTCAATGATATAAAGTCCGATAGGTTTATCTGTAACAGTTTTCCAGAAAAAAAATTATATCTGTTTCAGTCATAAGAAACAATGTGTTAGAAAGAGACCTTTTCTCACTTCCCTTACACATATAAAATCCTTTTCTAACACATTGGTCATTACGACAAAAACAAATATAATTTTTTTTCTCGAAAACTATTAGAGATAAACCTATCGAACTTTATATCATTAAAATCAGCAAAAACAGAGCTATCCAATGAGCTATTAATATATAGGGAGTTTCATTTGAAAATATCGAAATTTGGTCGATATCTCGAAATCGGAGCGATATCGAAAAAAATCGAGTCCGCCACTGGATTGTGCTCAAAAAAGTGTCTTCATAATGTTTTTACAGAAATGAAAAAAATTGATAAATAAAAAACTTATAGCCATTTTTCATAATAGGGGAAAATCAAAAATCACCCTGTATTAATGGTACCATTGAAGATATCGCGATACGGTTTTTGACAATTGACGTTTCTCGAAAATCGATCCCATGACATCTAAGTCAATTTTCCTCCATCTGGTCTGGAAGTACGTTTTTCCTGTTGGAACACTCCAAATTGCAGCACCCTGTACACTTGGCCAAACATAAAATTTTACAGACAATCGGGCCTATGATGTATCCTGTCCTGTTATTTTAATAGCCGTGTTAAGGCTCAACATCTATTTCGGTCTCCATTTTGACGCATAGAATAAACAGTGACAGATAACTTAACGTTGCTGTTAAAATAACAGAAAATGATACATCATAGGCCTGAATATATATATTTATTAAATTTGCCTAGTGTGAGTCAGGCTTAACAACAAAAAGTTTGTTGTGAAAAACTTAGGTCGGACAGTTTTTGTCAACGTCAAAGCTGAACAAAATGCAATGCATTATGATTGGTTTAAATATGACACTGACTTGACTCTTGCAGACATAAATGGAGCGTAAACAAGTTTTGACATAGAATAGCGTTACGGTAAGGCATCCGGTAAGTTCCGTTAGATAGCGGGCTCCGCTAACGCTAATACCGTAAGAACTGTCATAACTTGTCAAATAGCGTTACGGTATTTGAAATTTGGACGGCACGAGAACTCTCTAATAGGAAAATGCATACCAGTTTTATGATTGGCCAAGTGTAAAATACCTATTCCCATATGCCCGACGCGCGAGTTGCGACCGTGACAGTGCAAACAGTGCTGTCGCCGGCACATGCCGGCACCGTAGCGTGATCGTTATATTAGAAAGCTCTCGTCAGGGTTGCCAACTTATTAGTAGATTGTCTAATTGTCTATTAAATCTGGTAAATTCAGGTCTTCATTTGGTGGGGAAATTTATGTTCTAATGGGCAGTAGAAAATCTAGTAGAATAGTAGAATCCGAATTATAATTGAACGATCTCCTATTAGTGTCGCTTATACATTCGTAATTTTCAATAAACTATTACTACAACTGATAATTCGCCATCTAATTTAGTTGAGTAGGGAGCGACTAGATGTCAATATACTATGCGTTATACGTCACAATCGCCGTTCTTTCAATTTTTCGGAGGAATCTGGGGAATCCCCGGCAGCATTTTTGGTTTATTGGGCATACAGCCAACAATACTTTGCGGTCACATCATAATATATGATAATATATGACAAAAAAAAACATATATCATACCATACTATATACCTAATATATGATAAAAAAAAAACGTATCATATATGATATATTAGATATATATGATATACAACAAAACACTACAAACTAGAATCACTTGCTAGTAGATCTAGAGTCAGAAGACCGAATTTCATTGGTTGAACATATTATGGAATTGACTCTGACTGATTTGTGATTTCTGCAGAAACAGACCTCATGACTCTCATGACCGACTGACATGCACTGTCATATCAGTTTCTGTTATGACAGTCAAGTGATTCTAGTTTGTAGTTTTTTGTTGGTTAATAAAGCCATTACACAAAGTACAATAATTAGAACTTTGTTC